GCGTTTTTTCACATTTCCTCCGAATGTTTGCAAGATATATGTACCGATTATCGTTTAGAGATTACGTAATCTTTTAAATAAGAAATGTTTGTTTGGATAAAGGTGGTTTCTTCAAACTGTCATTAATATGTTAACATTAAAAGCTGCTTACAAATAATGCTATTAATGGGAAATAACTTTGATTTTCAAAAACTTTAAAAACAATTTAAAACCAAAGGAGATTAATAACTTCGGTACTGCACCACATCAAGTGAAAGTTTTTTTTTAGCAAACCATAGTGAGCTTTCAAAGCTTTACGTTGTTAACGTTACATGTTACATGTGTTGTGGCCTGTGTATTTATTTATTTATATATTTGCCAAGAGATTAACACCTATAATACAGGTTGATTAGAGGGACCGTTTGAATTAGTCGTAAGTACTACAGTTCTTTTCTCAAATGTAAACGTTGGTTTTTGGTACTGCTACTTTTCCTTAGAACCGGTGGTAGCAGTAAGAATCATTTTTACTTACAAACACATCACTATTTTCACTATTTATTTATAAACACTGCACCTTATTGCTTATTAAATTTAATTGATGTCTTACTGTATATTTTTTAGCGTTTTCTGTCTGGACTCCAAAATGTTGTGTGGACTCAATTCTGTATTTGTGTGTGTATGACTATTGGTAACGCATTAATGTCCTTATTTTTCGTGGAAAAGACAAGAGCACCATTGTTAATAAAAATTTCAACCCGAATAAAGTGTGCAGTAGTGAGGTTGAGGCAGTGTTTTAACTATTTTTAACCAGTGTGAAAAGTAACTTTAAATTACATGCCTACCTTAGGGCTATGCCTCATAGATCTATACTGTAAAGCAATTCCTTTCATCGTTACATATAAAATATGGACTAACACGATCGGGTGACATTTAATTGCGAAGCATTCGTTTTGGCTTTGAAACTGTCAGATATTGTATTTGAGAAGGTTTATATGTATTCCTAAACAGTTATAGTTTTGCCATCATATCTGGGAAAATGCACACTAAATATGCAAACCAACTCCTGTTCTGAATATAAGGTTTTAACTTACTACAAGATTCCCGTACGTAGAACGGGCAAACAGCTAGTCTATATATATAATACGCTAAGCCGATTTTTGTAGACGCTAGCTCAGTAGGCCTGGGACCCGTGTTGTCTTACCAGATGGTGTAGAGAACCTGATAGCGTATCAGTCACGCACATTCTCAACAGCTGAGCGAAGCTATTCACAAATTATAGAAAAGGAAGCTTACTCATTTTTGTGGCTTGCCCTGAACTGGTAAGACAAATATAAGTACGAAAGTAAAGGTAACTAAACCACTATTATTTTATAAAAGGAAGCTCTTGCTTTAGCATTTGCAGTTTAAAAATTCAATAACGTTTTTGTAGGGGAAAGCTTATTTTGGCTCTGATTGCAAACTACTTCGTAGTATTTTTGACTAAAAAGGCAATACCTATTTTTGATAGGGCTCGAGTGCAAAGATATGCGTTGTTCTTATAAGGTTATGAATTTAAAATCTATGCTTTTGCCCCTGAGCTGTGATAATAATTTAAAAAAAATATTTACTTTTGTCTACAGCTCAAACTGTTGTAACTTGGGTTACGGCTGTTTCGGCATTATAACTCGGATTGAAAACTACGTAAATTCAAGTTATGGCCGTAACTCAAGTTACAACAGTTTGAGCTATAGACAAAGGTAAATACCTATTTTTTATTAAGAATTTAACATTGAAATAATTTCTTGTACCTTATTGAACATAACAGACCAGGCCGTATCAAATATAAGGCGGGTTCCAACAGAAAAATCTAAAAAAAGTTTTCTCTATTTTGGCTTGTAAATCTGAAGTAGCTTTTGAGAAATCTTTCGGACCTTGTATTCGTGCAACCATGAAAAAATGATCTGTTAGAGCACGTTTTATAATAGCAGATTTAATGAAGTTATTATTTTTACAGTCGGTGAAAAAATGATCCAGATAGCCTTCTGTATCTTCTGTAACTCTGGTTGGCACATCGATACAACTAATAAAACCTGAACCATATAAAACATTCACGTAGTGGTGTGAGATATTGTTAGCTTTTTTTGGCAAAATTCAGCAATTAATGTCGCCGACCAGACGTTCGACCAGCCAGTGTTTCCTATACCCTATTAACCTAAGTAGGCTTCAAGGTCGTCGATAAATGGAAATACTGTAGATCACTAGACGGACTCCTGTACACCGATAACAGGGAAAGCCGCGCACCGCCAAATGTTACCTCTACTTTAACCATATACAAAAATAATTAAATATAGACTGTCAACCTTGCTGTAATTACTATGGTTACCATAGGTTCTGGCGCACACCGCTTGGAGCGCCGCGTAGTTACGTAGCGCGTACATACATGGTGCTCCCAGTGTTGTGTCTATGGTAACCGCAGCACAGTTGACGGTCTTTATTTAGTCCTTTTTGTCTATGCTTTAACAAATGTTGCTCAAAACACTTACCAACCTTAATACCAAACAAAACATAATACCAACCTCCTCCATGCACGCAGAAAAATTCTTTTTCACAAACAATCACAGCATCATTACGATTTCTATTTTCTTTGTTCATAAACACGTTATAACCATCCATACTCACATTCCCACTTGATTCATCCACCCAAGACTCAGTTAAAGCAATTATATCAAATTGATACACATAACTATCTAAAATAATAATCAGCTCGTCTATATTTTTAGTATAACTTCAAACAATTAGACTAAGAACCGTTTAACTATTTTTTAAATCTTCATTAAACTCGACTGAAAAAAATAAATGTTGATATGTCTTCAAATTATTTGTAAATAGCCTGGCAAATAGTCAAAAAAATAATAAAAACTGTGGGTAACAAAAGGTCATATATTAAATGGACATAATTCAAATTATTGATTGATTAATTCAAAATATGTTACGTTGACCATATAATACTTAGGCGAAAGACGCGCCGACCTTATGTCACACAAGTTTTGTCGTACCTGTCACGTAATACACCGATTTCTATATAACTAATAATAATAAAGACATACAATAATAACAATATAGATGTATAACCTTTACTCGTGTATTCAGAATGGTATATGGCTACGGAAAAAGAGCCGTTACCGTTCACAATTTTAACTTTTGCTAAGATTTTCTAGTTTTATAAATTTACAGTTTATTTCAATGTTTTTTTTTTTAAATTAAAAGTACTAGGGGGGACCCGTCAAAATTGACGTTAATGTTTCAATTAAAATAGTTTAACTATCAATCAATGATAAATAGCTTTTTTTTTGTTGGTCATGCTTCTGCAGCGTGCTTTAGATACATTCGATCATAATAGTCAACCACTAAAATGAATGCTGGTATTTAACTAAACGTTTTTGAAAAAAAAAAAATATAGTATAACGTGATTAGAATTGAACAAATATGTCTAAAATTAAACTCCATATTCGAGAACTAAATAATTTTATGTTTTGTGATTCAGTACCGGTAATTCAACATCTTAAACTGTTTAGGATAAATTTGTCACTTAAAAATTGCCGTTTTATCATAATCAATAAGTTAGACAAAACAAACAAAGCATATTAGCGTCTAAAAGATTTTAGGAGTTGGTATCACTGGGTAGTGTTAAGCCTGCAAGTAGTGATATGGTGAAAAACAATAAAATTGGAGTGAGGTAGTGATATACTGCAATCTGAGTGCTAGGTAGTGTTATCCCGGTTTCCAAGTGTTTGAAATGCAGGCATAACGCTACCAAACTTTGCTACCTCGCGGGGAGTAATATCCTGCAATCCAATGCGGTAGGTAGTGTTATCCTGCAGTCTATAAAGATATATATAAATCTATATATATATATATATATGTATACATATATAAAAATTTGAACGAATGGTGTTTTTGGCCTCTGGGGACATCAAAATGAAAAAGTAAATCGGTCCCGGGTCTAGGTCTTACCGTGCCACCTACGGTAATAGCTACTTCCCTATAGGGAAATTCGCTAAAAGTTATCAGTAGTGATAGTTAGTAATTAAATCCAGATTGATAATAATTAAAAAAGGGTCGTAGGTAAAGTAGTGTACGCAATTCGCTTTAATAGTCTTTGTCGTGCCTTAAATTTTCTACTCGTGTCGTAAAGACTCACTTAACGCAATCGTTGCGTAAACTACTATTACACCATAATAATTAAAAACTACTTCAATTAAGATATTATCAGTGAATAACTCAATTCAAATTATTCAGGGTTCAGGAAATTTAAAAAGAAACCAAGAAAGCATCAATAACGTAGCCAAAGTTTGCCCTTTACGAGATATAAAGACAATATGTGTACAGGACAGGGATTGTGGGATGAAAGGTTTATTGCTGCAATGTAAACGGACTGTGGATGTACCTTTGAACCGCAAGATGTACTGTAAAGCCCGCTATGAAGTTACAAAAAGTAATATAACACGATTCATTGACATTTCAGAAGGCTATTTACTGAAAATGTGTAAGGAATGCACAAATACCTTTTGAAATGAAACTGTTATTGTATGTACTGCAATATTAATTAAATCAAAATTTTTTTAAATTAAAATAAATGAGGATGAGTATTACGAAAACAATGAAAATATTTTGCTTAGAATTTATTAGTTAATTCTTTAATTTCTAAACCCCATGTTTGATACCCTGTTCATGACCGCAAAATGCGCTAAAATTTGCGATTTTTAAATGGAGAATCTTCAATACATTTAATTAAAAGGCTTGTTTTTTATTACCAAAACCTTACCTTATGTTTTGGGATAAACAATGATTTAATTAAGTATTATTCGTGACCAAAGGTCAAATCAAAAATGTAAAAACTTCCGAGATTTCATTTAAAAACTATTTAAGCTGTGGATATAGACAGTTATGTTATATGCGCTATAGAATAAATTAAAATATAAATATTATTTACTTAGAAAGTAAATTTCTTTTTTTGTTTTAATGTTTTTTCTTTGTTTTAGGTTTGCGTTCCACGCCCTACTGTAAAGAACTTAGTTAATGAAGGTACAGTAACTTTAAAATTAACAATACTAAATTTTATATACCACATATATGATGTATATTCTACGTGTAAGGACCTAAGTTACTATAATTTAAATGTATATCTGATCATAAATTACCAATCTGTATCCAAGTTTAATTTATGTCAAAATTATGATTTCTATGAACGTGTGCATATTGTTTACGCAGTTTAAAATAAAATTATTTAAATAATCAAAACGTACGAAGTTTAATTCTTAAAAATTAGTTTCTTCGTGTACAGAACTGTGTAGGGTTTTTTTACAATCTTAGAACAGATCTTAAACTATGTTATGAAAGGTAGTTAAGTCCAAATACGGACATTTGTTCGTGGAAAAGGATAAGCAACATTGATTAAATTATGCTTAAGATGAGCTTAAATTATGCTTATTTTTTAACTTTGACACGTTCTTTAACATTCTTAATTTTCGTGGTTAAAGTAAATTACAGTCTAGTCTTATTTTTATGTAGCATGTTTTACTGTAAATATATATTTAATTTATTAATGTAAATTAACCATTCTCAGTTTCAGGATGTGGGAAGATAAGTATCCATCTACGTCGGATAGAGGTAAGAATGTTTCTACGAATGGAACAAACCAAATAAATTGAAACCTATACTCAATATTTATATATTCTATTTATATATTTAAAATATTTATTTATTTATTCTATATTTATATATAGAATAATAGATACATTATAAATATAGATAATATAGTTTAATATGGATACAAGAACAATATTAAAATAATAGAAATACAATACCATACCTATGAATATTATTTTGCATTTTATTGACAGGCTCTTGGAAGAGCGCGTCAATTGTGTTAGTATCAAAATATTTGCCAACGTTGTAACTTAACGAAAATTCAAATAAAGTTAGAAAAGTATTCAAAATACACTTATTTTTCACAAGAGTAATTTTATATTTCATTATTCAAATTAAAATCCATTTTATTTCTATTGTATATTGATGAAATTAAATTATTGCATTTTCACACAGTGTTGACCATTGTTTGATGTTTTCAAAAGTTTTCCCTGTCCTTATATTATACTCTTGTAGCAATGTTTAGGTCATAACACAGTGAGTGTAAAGACTAGCTGATTTTAAAAACGGTTTTTATACCCTCTGTTAAATATTTTCTACTTTTATAGCAAACAATTTTTTTATTTTTGTTTACAAACTTTTAAAAATTTGTACAATATTGTGTTGGATATTATGTAAATTGGAACTAATGAAGAAGTGTATTTTAGTTAATTACCATTTTCTTCAAACAATTCATAATAATTCATAGAAAAAATAGTTACAACATTATCTGCTGTAAACTTTTTTAAATCCTTCACAATGTGTAACTATTTTTATATGAATTATTATAAATGTTTTTTTTGTTTATTGCATTGTTTATTTTTTTATTTGGATGATAAATGCTATTTTCAACATAATTATGGTTTTGAAACCCCTTATTACAGGACCAGCTTGACAACTGTGCCACGATTGTTAAAGGAATAACGAATGATCTGGACAAGTACATTTACTTACGTTGTTTACAGGTGAGACTCGAATAAATGGTTTGCTGTTAGTATTAAACTACTATAAAATAGTACTACATGGGCTTATAAGAAAAAAATGCTTTTTGGAATATTAATGAGACACATGACACGTGCTTCTTAAAATTAGTTGGCCATTATCATAGATCCATCAAAATTCATAAATAAGATATGCATGAATTAAAATATTCTGAAAATGTTCTGCATGTTTGTTAGTAATTCACCAGTTCAATTATTTTTCGCCAACTGTAACTCTGAGCTTATAATTCTAAAGGAATATTTTATGACTGGTTAGTTTTCTAAAATTATTTCCCTATGTGTTGATGGGTATCATCCTTTTGTTGGGTTGGCACAAAAAGAAATATGAAAAGAATTATTATGCTATTACAAGATACATATTAAACTCTGCTGACTCTATTGGTTCTTTATTATTGTGTGATACTTTTCAGAGTGACGGATAGTTTATGTACAAAAAAGTATATTGGAAAGGTATTCAAATTGTTACTCAACTCTTTAATCAACTGAAAAGCAAAAAAAAAAATGTTTCTCAGAAATATCATTAATTAAATATGGATACAAAAATAAATTCCGTAAATTCCACAAATGTATAAATTCAAATTAAACTGCCCACGTTTTAACTTCAGTCGTTGCGCACCGACCTAGATGTTGATATATTGATCAGTTGAAGATGAGACATTTAAACTATAAATGCATATTATAATTGGCCAATCATTATTTGGTCTGTATGAGAAATCAGTAATTAAATGCAGCGCTTTCAGCTGTGGCTAATTCATGAAAGTTAATTTATATTCTTAAATTCTTTTCCACAACCATTGAATTTGAACATTGTAAGTCGATATCTCATCCTATTAAAACATATAAAGCCCTTCTCTATGTGTAAATCGTGTTGACGACGTTTGAGTGTACTAATGTCATATAAATATTTTCTCTAATTTCAGAGCAGATTTTTTCAGTTAGTGCTTTGCATTTTTTGTCATAATACCATAGTACATACAAAAATTCATAATAATTAGATTGTCTTGTTTGGTTAAAATTGATAGAGACTAATCTTAAACATCAAAAAGCCCTTTACATAAAAAGGATGACACTGACTTCACATTTATCTTGATTTTTTATAAAAGAAAGAATTGTCCGTAAACTAGTACTTTTAATCTAAACTTAATGATAATGACATGTATAAAAAGCATTTTTAAAGCATATATACTTTTCCCCATGAAAGACATTCTTTGCTCTTAAAATCAAAGCTTGTATTACAAGTTTGACTGTCAATAATGACTTTTCAGCACGCCAATGAAGACTTGTTCTACGCTAGCCTGGTCAGCAACCTGAAGGTTCTGCTTCCAGTAGTGTACACCCCCGTGGTGGGGTTGGCCTGTCAGAAGTACGGACTTGTACCTTGGCAGCAGCATGGACTGTTCATATCCATTGAAGACACGGGAAAAGTGGAACACATCTTGAGAAATTGGTGGGTAAACAAGTAAAGTGTTGATCACTAACCAGTGCTTTGACTGGATAAAATTAGATTTTTAAGATGCCGTTACAACAGGCAGCATGTTAAAAGTGGATTTACAAATTTATGAAGGTCGAGGTAAATGAATTAGGCGACAGCTTAAATACAGACTAAGATCAGGTGGTAATTTTAGCAAAGCTCATCTATTAGAAACCCAAATATAAAACGCAGCTAGATCCATTTTTAAACCATCAAAAAACTTCTGATGCTTTTTAGTACTAAACCAGCAGTATTCTGAATACCAGACAAACATTATGTCTATTCATCTACTACATCTACTTATGTACATTCATGAGATGTATCAGTTTTATACCCATGTATCGATACTCTAATGGTGGCCAGATTATCAGATGCCTTCCAATAATTAAACGCCTAATTATAGGTTAATGTTTTCATGAATTAAAAAAAATCAGAAAATATAATTAAACTATAGAACACTAATCGTAGCTTCAACTTCATCTGATTTATCAAGTGAGATGGATCCATCTTTGGTTAAATGTCATTGGATACAATATTGCTTTCATTTCATTAACTACTACAAATTTAGTGCTGTTTTATGTACCAGTTTACTTTAACTGACATTTTGCTGTTGTTTGCAAATAAATTTGTCATTATTTATAACCTATACCGACACGTAAATAAATGATATAAGTGTAAATTTCTGTTTGTTTTGTAGGCCTCAGAAGGAAATAAAAGCAATTGTAGTTACGGATGGAGAGCGTATTCTAGGACTGGGAGATCTTGGCGCCAACGGTATGGGTATACCTGTCGGCAAACTGGCCTTGTATACAGCAATAGGAGGAGTGAATCCAAAATATTGTCTACCTGTCACTCTAGATGTGGGGACCAACAACCAGGTAACTATCCTAGATATCCTGTAGACAAAAGTAACTTGTATACAGCAATAGGAGGAGTGAATCCGAGATATTGTCTACCTGTCACTCTAGATTTGGGGACCAACAACCAGGTAACTATCCTAGATATCCTGTAGGCAAAGTAACTTGTATACAGCAATAGGAGGAGTGAATCCGTGATATTGTCTACCTGTCACTCTAGATTTGGGGACCAACAACCAGGTAACTATCCTAGATATCCTGTAGGCAAAGTAACTTGTATACAGCAATAGGAGGAGTGAATTCGAGATATTTTCTACCTGTCACTCTAGATGTGGGGACTAACAACCAGGTAACTATCCTAGATATCCTGTAGACAAAGTAACTTGTATACAGCAATAGGAGGAGTGAATCCGTGATATTGTCTACCTGTCACTTTAGTTGTGGGGACCAACAACCAAGTAACAATCCTAGATATCCTGTAGGCAAAGTAACTTGTATACAGCAATAGGAGGAGTGAATCCGAGATATTGTCTACCTGTCACTCTAGATGTGGGGACCAACAACCAGGTAACTATCCTAGATATCCTGTAGACAAAGTAACTTGTATACAGCAATAGGAGGAGTGAATCCGAGATATTGTCTACCTGTCACTCTAGATGTGGGGACCAACAACCAGGTAACTATCCTAGATATCCTGTAGACAACGTAACTTGTATACAGCAATAGGAGGAGTGAATCCGAGATATTGTCTACCTGTCACTCTAGATGTGGGGACCAACAACCAGGTAACTATCCTAGATATCCTGTAGACAAAGTAACTTGTACATGACAATAGGAGGAGTGAATCCAATGATCAAGGACAGCTGGGTCCAGTTTTGAACCACAAAAAAGCCAATCACTTTTCTCAGGATCGAACCAGTACCATTGATTACTAGGCGAGCTCTATAACCATTTAGATACCTAACTATATTATTTGAACTTTATCAAATAAAGGGTGGGAGTAGACCCTAGATCCCGAAACGTTATCAGAACTTGCCTTTTTGCTTTACTTGGTGTAAAATGTCCAAAACAATCCATCAAATAACACAACACACACCATTATAAAAATGAACTTAGCACATATGTGACCATCCTAGATATACCAGATACCAAACTCGGTTTGTATACTGTACTAGCTGTAACCCGCGGGCTTTGCCCCGTTTAACTTCTTTCAAGATGATCTCGTTTGCATGGCTCAATCACGTCCTGGTTGAAGTTCGTTCGCTACGCTCACTCACCTTTAGGTTGGAGCTCATTCGCTACGCTCACTCACCTTTAGGTTGGAGATCGTTCGCTGCGCTCACTTGCCTTCAGGTTAGCTCGTTTGCTACGCTCACTTGCCTTCAGGTTAGCTCGTTCGCTACGCTAACTCGCCTCCAGGTTGAAGTTCGTTCGCTACGCTCACTCACCTTTTGGTTGCAAATTAGCTGTTGTCATAAATGTAAAAGAAATAATAGTGCTGCACCCTGTTGGTAATCCTTGTAACTTTAATGCTATTGAACATCATAGGACAGAACCAACTTGTTTAATCGAAACAGCTGTTAAGATTCATTAATTCCATTTCTCATAAGGTTAACATGGGAAACTCCAGAGCCACTGGGGTGGAGCCCTTTTTGACGGATCTGCACCAAACTTCACACAAACCTTCCTTGAATAATGCTTAATAATGCCTGACAGTTTCATTACAATCCGTCGAGCGGTGTCCGAGTTTATCCCGGCCAAACAAACAAATATATATACTAACATCCTCTTTTATACTTATAGACTAGGGACAGTGTATGTTACAAGATATCTAGCCAGCTAATGTGAGATGGGTTGTCGACCGAACATTGCCCATAACAGTATCGTGAGGTAATAGAATGTCGCAGGTAATGTGTTCTGAGCACCATTGACTGTGTCATTGTGAGCTCCGATGTCCTACATGGACCTTGTTTAGTTCATTAAGCTGTACATTCACGTTGACCTTTGGATTTAATTACATTGGAAGCACAATAAGAACGACTGTAACTTCGTGTTGTTATAAGACACAAATAACATGTTTTTGTCAATTTGTGTTGTTAAATAGAATCACAGGCATTATTATATATATATATATATATATATAAATCATTGTGTTTTTTCCACGCTGTATTTTTGTACCTATATATGTAGTTACACAAAAAATGTTGTCAGGAAAAATACTGTTTGTGGTCAGAATTTTAATATTTCTTATTTGCAACGCCAATGAGCAACATTGCAAGTTTTTTGGTTTTAATTCTTTTTGCAGGAACTTCTGAAGGAAGGGTCCCCTTACGTTGGGCACCGAAAACGACGTGTGTCTGGAGACGAATACGAGCAGCTTGTCGACGAATTTATGGAGGCCGTTATTAAGGTTTACGGAAAGAATACACTGATTCAAGTAAGTATTGATCTGAAGCAGTGTACATGTATTAAAAAAAGACATATTTAAAACAAAAAAACAAAAAACTATAAAAGTTTGTGTTCAACATCAAATTGTGAATCGCAATATAAAAAATTCACTCTATCCATAGATGTTGCCTTATTTGAAATCTTTTCGCCGTGCCCTTTAATTTGGGCTTAAGGGTACCAGTTCGTTATCACACGACTGACTTCGCAATCAGACAATATTATAGTCTTTGTATTTAGATTACCAATGAACGGTAAACTGGCATAAACAACAACAAAACAGGATAATCGTTTAAGGAAAGGAGTAAAGTCTCACTAGAGGAATTCCTCTTTAAAAAAGTATATTAAATTTGTTAAAACTATGATTTGTCTATTACGGCATTGTTTCGTTTGTTCTAAAATTCCTTGTAAAAGAGTATACTATTGTTGGTCAAAAATACTTCATGAAGGCTAGTCTTTTTGTACAGCTTTTTCGAACACCAACGGCCTAAGTTGTAGATTATTTCTGCAGTTTTTCCACCAGTTAGGCTCATTGGTAGTAATAACATTTGTATTATCAGTCCAACACTCAGATCTGTTACGTGCGTTTCTACAGGATTAGCAAAAAATTTTAAAACAGCTTAAGATTCACATTTTTTTTAAAATAAGTTGTAAAAGGTACAAATTAGGTTTATTCCTTTTTAACCTACTTATTTTGTGTCTTAGTTTGAAGATTTCGCAAATCAAAACGCCTTCAAGTTCCTACACAAATACAGGGACCAATACACAATGTTCAATGACGACATTCAGGGGACTGCTGCTGTTACTGTGGCGGGTATTTTGGCAGCTGTAAGATTCACAGGCAAAACACTGGAACACTCCAAGGTGCTATTCGTGGGTGCTGGGGAAGTGAGTAATACCTCATCACTGAAAACTAAAAAAAAATTTTTTTCCTACAGTCACCCGACAAAGTTTGCTTCCTTGTACTGTTTATAGTACAGAAAGCTGCTAATTGCTGCATATTTATACTTTGCCGTACGGTTTATACTTTGTCGTACGGTTTATACTTTGCCGCACATCAGGATTCCAACGAAACAACACAAAACAGCGTGGTTCTATTATGCACGTAATCCGTGTACGCTTGGAAATAGGTTGGCAACACTTAAAGATAATAATACTATGAGCAGCTGATTGACTATTATAACTACGATTTAACCTGTCATTTCGTGTTTATAGTTTCGGTATTTCTGAACTTTCTGGACTTTTCTTTTAAACGTTTTTAAAACATTCCTACGATCTTAATAAACAAGAAAATACCTTTATAGCATTTTTTTTAGGCACGGATACCACTTCAAATTACAAAAACATACGGAACTATATTTTCAAAACGCGGAGCACATTTCTTGCCGAGGAAAAATAGCGGAGTTATACGGACCGGGTACTACTTTCTCTAGGGCACCATTTGTGTTGCCAGCTGAACCTAAAAACGTGTTGTATAGTGTTTGAAAGACTAATTATTTATATGCTTCATAGTGACTGTAGGAAATAGTTATTTGTGTAACTAGTGGTGAAAGTGGCACTTTGCTGCACACGAGAGCAATGTTTACGCACGATTCGCAGGCGAGTGCGGAATGATCTCGAGTGCAGCAAAGGCCTTTTTCACTCGTGTTACACATTATATTTTTCCTACAGTCACTATAAAACATATAAATAATTAGTCTTTCAAACACTATACGACACGTTTTTAAGTTCAGCTGGCAACACAAATGGTGCCTTAGAGAAAGTAGTACCCGCGGTCCGTATCACTCCGCTATTTTTCCTTGGCAAGAAATGTGCTCCGCGTTTTGAGAATATAGTTCCGTATGTTTTTGTAATTTGAAGTGGTTTCCGCGCCTTAAAAAATGCTAATGAAAATGCTTAAAAAAGGTATTTTCTTGTTTATTAAGATCGTAGGAATGTTTTAAAAACGTTTAAAAGAAAAGTCCAGAAAGTTCAGAAATACCGAAACTATAAACACGAAATGACAGGTTAAATCGTAGTTATAATAGTCAATCAGCTGCTCATAGTATTATTATCTTTAAGTGTTGCCAACCTATTTCCAAGCGTACACGGATTACGTGCTATAATAGAACCACGCTGTTTTGTGTTGTTTCGTTGGAATCCTGTTGTGCGGCAAAGTATAAACCGTACGGCAAAGTATAAACCGTACGGCAAAGTATAAATATGCAGCAATTACCAGCTTTCTGTACTATAAACAGTACAAGGAAGCCAACTTTGTCGGGTGACTGTAGGAAAAATATAATGTGTAACACGAGTGAAAAAGGCCTTTGCTGCACTCGAGATATGTAAACATTGCTCTCGTGTGCAGCAAAGTGCCACTTTCACCACTAGTTACACAAATAACTATTCCCCAATGAAGTATGTTCACTAAACAAATCTAACCAGTGGGGCCTTGATCTAACGCCCAACACCATAAACTGCTGATGGATAATAAAAGCACTGAAACACATTTCAATAAAAGTCAAACAGTATAGACAAGCGAGTGGTGATTGCAGTATAAGAAAGGTAAAATCTGTTATGTCTGGCTCATCCCTTTAAAACTAACACTCAGAAACCTTCTTTGCTAAATTTGTAAATCTATTGTTCATTTTTAAAACCAATGGATCTTTGTCTTTAAATGGTGAACCTGTAAAGGTTGTTTATTGCCTTTATCTCGAATTATTGAAGCAATATGTGTCTCGGCTGTATTGATCAGGTTTTCATGGAAAACACACATTTCTAAAGGACATTTCTAAAGGAAATCTAGTTTCCGAGACTATTTTTTGTTTAATTTTATCCGATTTCGTAAATAGGAAGTTTACAAAGCTGTTCACATGCGCCTTCACATTACCATTATTGGTGAATGTTAGTTATTCCATGTGCGTCATTGTAAGCATCCAATAAGATTTGACTGTAATCCAATCCAATATAGGGTATTGAGGTAGCCGTATGCAAAGCTGATAGGCATAAGTTGTGCCCTTTAATGAACAGTGAAAATAATTTACTCGGTATTTTAGGCAGGAGTAGGTATCGCCAGTTTACTAGTGAGAACTATAGGAGGGGATCCTGCAGAGGCCAGGAAGAGAATATATATGAAGAGAAGCAACAGAATGATTGTTAAAGGAGACGAAACGAGTTATCCAGGTAATACACATAACGTTGTCTACTATAGTGGATCCAGATTATAGTCAATATACACGAAGTTGGACAGTGCTGTAATATGTACAGTGCTCTTCATAAAATGTATATAGATTAATTATCCTTGAGGATGATCCGAAATCAATTTTAAGGTTTTTCGTTGTCCGTTGAATATTAATTACACTTTAATGTTTATCATTACATTCTTGTTTTTCGTAACAAGACTTGGTAAAACGTGTTTATCGAAAGAATGGTTTGTTAAATATATCTTGCTTTGTCATATACAAATGACATAAAATATTAACACATTTGTAAATAAAAACGAATTTGCTGCAGAAAATGATAGAACGAATGTGATAGAAAGCCAACGTACAGTACTCAAACGTAACCATTTATGGAACACAAATAAAACTTCAGGGTTTACAGTAGCATGAGAAAACCACTGACTAGTATCTTAAGTCAATAGTTGTTCAGTTAAGTAACATGTTATAGTAACTATTCTACTTCCTACTTGCAGATGATGACGACAGAAGGTTGTTTTGTCACAAGGTGCCGGAGGGAGCAGAAATCAAAGATTTGGCAAAAATAATTCAATGGCTCAAGCCTGACATTTTAATTGGTAATGTATTTTTATATTTTATTCATGCCTCTACCTGTATAACTGCTTGAAATATAAATCCCTATTACGTTCTCTTTTTGGTAAAGATCAAACTAATTCATAGATTTATATACCTTTGAGAGACGGGACCTATCTTAAGCTGTAGATCAATCTAGTTAAAAAAAGGGACGAGCAAAAGCATGAAATACCCCAGCCGCAGCAAACCTGCAGACTAAGCGAATTTCCATTTGACTGATTGGATTTACACTGAAATGTCTACTTAAAAATATAACATTTATTCTTGATTTAAATAGAATTAGTTTAACAAGTACTTAGGTTTGCTGCATCAGGGAGGGTAAAACTGTTTTTTTTTTTTGTAAAATGTGAATAGTTAGTAAGAAATAAAAACATTTTCCAAATTTGATCAAAATATGTTCACAAACAAGCAAACTACAACAGTTTACTTATTCTCTATAAGAATAACATGGGAATTTTAAATTTACAATTTTTTGGAATTTTCTCCGTAACCATTAGGCGCATAATAACGCTTCAATATACTAAATTATTTGCTTTTTTAAGCTCTACAAAATGGTTTGGAAAGAAATTGCTAAATTTGATGTTTTTTGGGTAAAAAATGGGAAAAACCTATTTTTACCCCATAAAACCCCCCGTAAACCCCAGTTCCCATGGTCCGATCAATCTGGATCGCGAACTCGTTTTTGAACGTACGTTTATACGTTTGTACAAAATTTCATCAAAATCGGATCATTTTTGCTCGAGTTATCGTGCTGACGGACACACACATATATATATATATATATATATATATTGTTATTGTATACATCAATGAGGGCTACTTTAAATGTTACTAAGCAAATCAAAATACCACAGTACCCTAAAAACATTTTATTTTATATTACTTACATGTTTCGGACATTAATGCCATGATCACAGTATAGTATATAAACCTATTAGTTTCTTTTATTTACAAACATTATTAGATATTTCTTATTAAAGAACAGGTGATAATTTTTATATTAAGGGAAGGAGGTGTTTTCTTTAAGATGTATAATTTCATTGAATATTACGTTTTGATTTTGAATTTGTGTCAAGTTTAGTAAATTGTCTTTGTCATTAATATGATGAGTATAAATATAAAAGTCTTCCTTTGTATTCATTTTTTCACCTTTATTTTCAATATCCAGAATGTGCATATTTTTATTCATTTCTGAGTATGTATGGTTGGTCTGAAGTATATGTTCGGCGTATGAGGATTTTTGTGTTGTCATATTGTTTGATCTGATTGCCTGTATATGTTCTTTGTATCTGACTTCAAATGTTCGACCTGTTTGACCAATATAGTATTTTTCAATATAAGAGATATTGAAAATAAAGGTGAAAAAATGAATACAAAGGAAGACTTTTATATTTATACTCATCATATTAATGACAAAGACAATTTACTAAACTTGACACAAATTCAAAATCAAAACGTAATATTCAATGAAATTATACATCTTAAAGAAAACACCTCCTTCCCTTAATATAAAAATTATCACCTGTTCTTTAATAAGAAATATCTAATAATGTTTGTAAATAAAAGAAACTAATAGGTTATATACTATACTGTGATCATGGCATTAATGTCCGAAACATGTAAGTAATATAAAATAAAATGTTTTTAGAGTACTGTGGTATTTTGATTTGCTTAGTAATATATATATATATATGAATTTGAACGGATGGTGTTTTTGGCCTCTAGGGACCTCAAAACGAAAAAAAATCGGTCCCGCGTCCAGGTCTTACCATGGGTACTACGAACGGTAATAGCTTCGCTAAAATGTATTAAAAGCTCATTATCTTTTTGCATATAACATAAAAGAACCTGAATATACTGTTAGGGGTTGGCTCATGACATACATTTTTGGTTTTAAATATTTTGAACGTATCACAAGGTACTTAAGAGTATTGTTCACTTGGGTTTTCATCGTCTGATGGGGTTTGTTTCTAGGCGTCTCAGGGGCAGGACGACTCTTTACCAAGGAAGTTCTAGAGGCGATGGCTGAAGTTTCAGACACTCCGATCATCATGCCACTCAGCAACCCTACCTCCCAGTCCGAGTGTACTGCTGAAGAAGCCTACACTCACACCAAGGTGATATGCTAACGAAACTGTTTTAAATATTTACTAAAATATAGAACACACACTACATTGCCGAGTAAAACATTTTGTTGAATGCAAGACTAGTTGCTACCGCAAGATAATTTGATAATGGCAGGGTAAATGACTATTGCAGTAATATTCTCTTTGATCTCGATAAACGTTAATTTTAGTATAATGTTTATGTTTATAATGATTAAGTATAATGTTTTGAACTTGAAAGAATTATTCTTGGTCATCATAGCTTTTAAATTGGCATGGTTTAAAATTTAACCACCATTGTCCCCTCTAATCCGTTTTGCACTTCTGAAGGACCTTAGAGATTTTATATAAAGGCGAAAAAGTATGAGATTTAATTGCTTTAGGTACTCAGGCTCTGTCTTAAACTGTGGTCCCGCATATTAAGAAAACATAAAAAGGTCAAGCTCTTGCAGACAAGGGGACCTTTTAATTTTTAGGGAAATGCGTCCATAAAAGCCATTAGATGCTAGTGCGCTTACTTAGAATGGCCACCAAGCGGTTACCTGCTCCGTTAAACTAAATTAAGTTAATTTAGTATACAGGAGGGTTATTTAGGTGGAATGGTTAGCGTAGAAAAACTGTGAGGTACGTATTATAGTATTATAGTTTTCCAGCACTAGCGTTGAGGAAGAAGAACACAAGTGGTAATAGGTAGTCTTAAGATGAAATACAATTTGAAAGAAATATCCAGTTATTTTATATACAAAGTGTTCCGAAACTCTCTCCCGAAACTCCGGGGTCATTGTTCCTTAGGTCAAAACAAACAAAAAATATCATTTCATAAACGTATGCCCTGTCTCGCTTCGTTTTCCGTCTGTCAGTGTATGTGTATTTCTTGCATAACTACCCATAACTTTGGAACCACTAGAGGTACCAACTTCAAACTTGGTACGTGTATGATGACTAATAGGAACTATTGTTTGATGGCGGCCATTATTATTTTTCAAAGCTTAATAAATAACTTAAAAAGCATAAGAGTTATAAAAAGTTACAAAAGACATAGAAATTTAATTCACACTTTACAAAAATGTACATTTTTATGTGGTAGTAACACAAATAACGGAGATAATTTTATTTTTATAGAGATAATACCTGCTAATTTATTGAATTTGCCCAAATTTGTAGTTTTAACTTCGGAAAAATTTATTTTTCTCCGTTAGTTGTGTTATGGCCCTATAAAAAATGTACATTTCTGTAAAGTGAGTTACAATTTCATCTTTTTTGTCTTTTGTAACTTTTTTATAAATCTTATGGTTTTGAGTTATTAAGCTTTGAAAAATAAAAATGGCCGCCATTTTGAAATTATACAAATATAAACTTGATGCTTTGAAAAACAATAGCTTCGATAACACGTACCAAGTTTGAATTTGGTACCTCAAGTGGTTCCAAAATACACACAGTGTGACAGACGGAAATCGAAGCGAGGTATATGTTGTAATGCTGTAATGTGGTAATGAGGTAATTATGTTTACATGTTGACCACGGAGTTTCGGGAGACAGTTTCGAAACACCCTGTATACCATGTATATGAAGGGTTGGCTATTTATATACAGGGTGTCCCATTAGTAAACAGTCAAACACTGGGAAATGGTTCTACGGGACAAAATACAGTACAGATAATATCAAGAATGAATCTTTTTCCAAAATCGCTTTGTTAACTGGATATCGTTTAACCATTTAATTATTTTTTACATAAACATTTTTATCTTTGAATTGTTTAAACCGATATAATAAACATTTTTATTTAGCATTAACAATTCCCTATCAAAAGACACCAAGTTTAAAAAATCTAATAAAAAATAACTGAAATATTTTGATCTCGGCTTAAATAAAACCAACGACTTTTGAAGGCGAGCAGTATATCCTCTCGACTACCTAGAAAACGAATATACAATCATTTGGGTAGGACGAGTCACAAACTGAAACACAAACTGTGTAACCCTCAGATAGTTTTACTAATAATTTTAGGTTTTAAGTTAGTTTTATCAAGCTAATAGTTTTTATGATTACATATACATCCTCAGCATATTTCAGCAGAGCGCCTGAAAATTGTCTGTAACTGAATCGAAAATATTCTGTAAGAAATGCGTTTTGTCTGTAACGTGGTGATACCAAAATAACTAGAATCCAGTGTTTGATAGTTTAACTGACCGTGTAAGTCTAAGGTTCTAACATGCTGGGGTTTCTAGGGCAAGTGTCTGTTCGCGAGCGGGTCCCCGTTTCCCCCAGTAAATGTTCAAGGGCAGATCCGTCACCCTCAACAATGTAACAACGCCTATATCTTCCCTGGGGTGGCGCTGGCTGTGACGGCGACTCAGATGACCAATGTGCCTGAAGAGGTGTTCCTTATCGCAGCCAAGGTATGTATACAGGGTGGTAAAAAAGTCCCTGGAGAGTTAAATATTTTAAAAAATAATGCAGATAGAGCTACAATACTTGGTACAAAGTTACAGGGCATAAAACTCTATTTTAACACATATTCAGTGATCCAATAACTCTTCAGGGGGACGGCCCACAAGAAGTCGCAAGAAAATCTTAAATGAAAGCATAGGTCAATATGCACATCAAATTAAAGGTCTTCACTAGTAGATTACGATGCCGGAAATTCAAGCTCAAAAGAATGCCTGAGTATAAAATGGCAGTCGTTCAAAGATTCAAAATGGCGGATTCAAGAAATCTTTGAACATCTGCCATTTTGCGCAGGATCAACCTTTTGAAGTGCGGTTTGCGGCATTGTATTCTACTAAAAAGACCTTTAATTTGATGTGCATATTGACCTATGCTTTCATTTAAGATTTTCTTGCGACTCCTTGTGGGCCGTCCCCCTGAAGAGTTATTGGATCACTGAATATGTGTTAAAATAGAGTTTTATGCCCTGTAACTTTGTACCAAGTATTGTAGCTCTATCTGCATTATTTTCTAAAATATTTAACTGTCCAGGGACTTTTTTACCACCCTGTATAGTCATTAGTGAAGTAAACTTTGTCTTACAGATTTGTTTATACAAGAAACATTTAAGCTAAGAAAAATTATATATTGGTCGGATTTTTGCTCTATGTCATAGGCTATGCTGATTAAACATAATATTTAGTTTTTCTATTATAAAAAACTTTTCTATATTCACCACAATCCAGGATGTGTATGTGCAAATATACAACATACGAATGCTGCAGATGTTTTGGATGGCATTATTTTGTGTAGTGGGTAATTAGAATAAACATGTTTTGATAGTCCATTTTATTGATAAATTGTGTGTTAGACTTTGGCGTATTCGTGCACCAATCAAGAAGACTTTGACCAAGGCAGTCTGTTTCCTTCTCTGGACCGAATCAGAGCCTGCTCTTTAGAGATCGCTGTGGAAGTAGCTAAATATGCTTTTGATAAAGGTAAGTGTACTTGAACAAATATTGCTATTTATTATTAAGGACCAAAAATTAATAAGAAAAATAAGTATAAATAGAATGTATAGACTGTACAGTAATATAAAAAACGGATATTTATGAGCGTTGATGTGATGTTCTCGATTAACAACAAATTTCAAATCTAATTTTGTAAACAAATTATAATCGATAGCCTATTATTTTGTTAAAATTCATAGCACTTTGATATTTAGCGTTTTACGAGTCCTTTGAGGCTAGCGGCCATCTTGGACTATTTCAAACAGTTGCTGAAGAGGTCTTAATCGTCCAAAAATATTTTTTTCAAATACCAAAGTGATTTTGATTTAAATATCTATTATACTGTGGGATTAGAAATTGTTTTTTGATGTTTTGAATTTTCCTCCAAGGGAGTCAATGGAAGCTAACGGCCAAAATTGTCCGTGATTGGATCTTAAAAGTTTTTTTCTGAAAATCCAGCCTTTACTATTGCATTTTTCTTAGTTTATTTTTAGTTGAAAATATGTTATATACTTGATTGTTAATGGCTAATTATGTAAATTGTTTAAGACAAGGGGTTTAGTTCCTCAACAAAATTAAAGATAAAACACAGATTGGGCCATAAAATGAAAGACTTGCATTTTTTCTTTTGAATAGCTTACGATAAATGTATTAATATATACGACATAATTTGGAAAACTATTTTTAAATGGTAAATAAACTTTCTTTAAGGATTTACGTTTACGAACAGTAGAGGAAACACACCTGCCTTAAATATTTCAAACACGCCCTATGTTTGACTTATAATGTTTAACTTGCATGTTTAATGTATGTTTAATTATGTATGTTTACTTATAAGCAAACAATAACCTTATAAATATTGAATCTGTATGGATCAATTTTTATTTTTCAGATTTATCTGCTCTTCCATCAAAGCCTGAGGACATCAAAGAGTTTATTCTTAAACACCACTACAGTCCACATCATTATTTCCATCATCAGTCACATCATCATTGATTAACAATGGTAACTATATTATTTATATAATTTTTTATAACTCACGGTTAAAAGTGTATGTTATTGGTGTGTTTTGTTACATAAATTTAGTGTAAATATGTATCTTTTAATAAATCGTTTGAATGGTTTGGTACGTAGTTTGTTTTTTACTTCCCATTATGGAGTTTATTAATAAAATAGAAATATACAATCAAATACATCAAACAATATCTTAATTTAGCAAAGGACATATTTTCCAAGCAATTTTAAATTATTCATGTGCACGAAGATAGTTATGTAAATCAATAGTTCCTGTATTATTTATTAAAAGCTACTAGTTATTGAGATCTGTCGCAATAAAAGGAATGCACAACTGTAAAGGTCAAAATGAACCAGGAAATGGAAAAGCATAAAGTATTTAGAAGTGTTAATAGTCAGTATATATGATCTACTATCCACTATATGATTGTTGAACAAAAGTTTAAACGAACAGCTACCCATTGTTCATCTTATAGAAAACATCTAACAACAGGATTTAAGTATGTACCGTTTCAATTGTAATGTTTTCGTCGACAATGTATGATTCTAGTAAGATTAACACTGCCTTTTGAAATATGATATTTTTGCTAACCCACTCTACAACACATGTTTGGTGGTTTACTTGTTAGTTGGAGTTGATTAAAAATGTCGAAGCTAATTCGAGGTTTAACTACTCGTCCCACTAAAGTAGGAATAATGTAATCCATCTACAGCTGGATAGCCGAGTGGTCATCATTTTTATTAAAATCATATGGTCGTCAGTATTTATTTAATTTATATTCAGCTTAAAATATTCACAAAACGTACGAGATAATCTTGTTAAAATCAATATGTAAAAAACTATAAATTTAAATACTAAGAGTTACAAAATGGCTCTAATTTTAAATAATTCTGAAAATAAACTCAATTTTTTAAAGATTTAATTCAATACAGATGTCAAAACAACAGTTATTTGCCCATAGAAAGACGAAGATGTAGTATAAGACTAAGCCTATTGAGGCAAGATTAATGACCATCTCTAGAGCTGAAAATGTGTTTCCGTTGGACTCGGTTTCAGAGCAATTGGTGTATCTTGTTTTAACTAATGTCCAACATGAGAAATATAGTTATCATACAACCTTTGTTTTGGGCATGGTTTTATTAATTTACGTAAAGCTACAACACCACACCCATTTCCGAAAAGAAGGAATTCCAAAAAATATATAATACAAGTTATGTCTTATTTGCACAAAATAAAAATTTAAAGGTACTGGAATTCAAAATGTGAACCGTAAATATACATAATACGAATAACTACTTGTTATTAATCATACTTTTTGTTAAGCATATTTGAATAGGGAAACATATTCTAGATAAGAAACGTATCTATATTTGATCAGGAATACAATTCTAAATACATACACAATTATACATTTCTAAATATTTATGAAAATTATAATTCAAAAATATTATGGCCCACAAAACAAGGGACCCTGAGGATGTGAGAGGGTGATGGAGGACCGAGTTTATTGAGGGAAGATTGATGACTGGAGCACCTAGTGATAGAGAGGTGTTTACCTTTAGCTATGTTACAAGGCTACAAGGCTATTACCCAAGGGTACCCAGACGCTTAGCAAAGTTTTATGCTAAATTATTAACGCAATAATGGGTGTTAAATATTGTCTTATTTATTCACAAAAGCTCCGCTACGAACAACAATCGCATGGTACCACCTTAATTTGTTGTATTGGTTTACATGAAATATGTACTGTACATTTATGGAATGAGTAGAAATATTGAATTTTATTTAAAAACATAGGGTGTAAAGATAGAAAGACCTGAGGAAAATAAATTGTGTAGAGCGATGAATAAAATATTTGAAGTTTTAGGGAACAAACATGTTTTTTTATATATAATGTAAAGAAAAAAGTGACAAAACTATAATTTTATTCAAGGGGTTAAATAAATTAGGTAGGTCTAAAGACGGCAGAATTGACTATTTTTACACCTTAAGTTCTTATAAGTCACGAAATGTGGATATTTATATACTTGCGCTGTGGTTGCGATATTACCTGGTGTGGATTAACGTCCGCACTAGTGAGTACTACGACTATCCGCAGTACTATCCTGATAATTAGACCAATTCGTTAATACCAAGGCAAAATGTGGTTCGGATTCCACTATAAACTGTAGGCCCCTTAGTTGCCATTAGCTGTATGGGCTATTAATTAACAGCTGTGTTTAAGGAATATGTTGGCCTTAGTAACTAACAAGGATACAAGATTACGTACCTACACTCATCTCCATTCATACTTGGCTTAAAATACCTACTTTGTATGGTCGCCATTTAATGAGAAAGTATTAAAGTGTAGAGGGAATACAAATTTTAGAATGTAGTAAGGTGTAAATTTAAAAGGTTTAAGGGTTGTTGTATAAATACAACTCAACTGTATTTTGTTTTTCAGACTGCTGAAGTCATGCGAAACATAATAGTAGAATATAAAGATACAATGGTTTTTGTGAATTATCAAACAAATTAGTTAGAAGCTAATATGCGTGTTATGTTTGATCACCCAACTGTTCGTTACTAAATAAGCTCGCCTTCAATCTAAAGGCCGCTGGTTCGACTCGAAGCGAGATCGTTACCAAACCCAGATGTAATATATCATCTGGGTATTGATAAAAGGTGCTTTTTAACATCAGGTCAGCGTTGATAGTAACAAGACTAGGGCTTAGACCACTACCCCACAAAAAAAGAAAAAAACTTTAATAAATGTCGTGGTTAGACATCGTAAAAATATTTAAAATAGTGCAATGGAAGATTAGTTTTTCAACTCTGTTATTGTCAACATTGATTTGCTTGACTAAGTAATTACAATTTTAGAATAACACAAAAAATATTAGTTTTTAATTTATTAGTTTAACTAACCCAAGGAAATATTTTGTGAGCAGTAAAGAGGTGGCAGTGAAAAAGGAGTAGAGGAGCAAACACTGATGACGTGAGTGGAGGAAAAGGCTTTGCGAGAGTTCAGAAAGGCGTACAACAATTTGTTTTCTGTTACAAGTTTTGTGATTCAAATTAATTAAGGAATGGTCAATAGTTAGAATGGATATCTATACTTATTTAATACGCAAGCACGATTTTTGTGACAATTACTCCTCCGAAACTACTGAACCGATTGACATGTTTTTGGTGTCATTAGAAAGAGCGTAACAAGTTGTGCAGGAAACTTTCTTTTTAGGTAAATAATTACAGAGCGAGGCCCTGGGGCCCTTTAAAGTTTCGTATTTCTCCATAAGATTAACATGGGAAACAAACATTGTTTTGAAACTCCAGCTGTTGTCAGAAATTAAATATTAAATAATTGGTCTCCATGGAAGCATGAGAAAATTCACAATGTTTCCATTTGCTTTGATATTTTATTGTAAACAACCAGAACTGTCAAATGCCTATTTCACAAATTCCGACAGCTGATCCAAAAAAATGTATTTTCTTTCCACCATGTAAAACAACTATGTGGTAGGTTTACTTAATCTTAAACTCTATGATAGATTATTTATTATAAATCTATTTCAATGATTATGAAACAGATTTCTCCCGTTGCGGAGCAAAAATTTATAATGAGAAGAAGGACATAAGTAAAACAGTCAATGTGTAAATTATCTATGTTGTATAAAAAATGCGTTTCGTTTTGGATGTTGGTTTGTGTTAAATGATAAAGTTATTAGTTATTGAATTGTTATTCAAAGGATTTGGCAGATGAGTAAGCCTATGATAAATATCACCATTTCAGAGTTTGCCAGTTCTTGCCTAATTCTGTCCTGTAGAGTTTTCCTGTAGAGTGTAAAGTAGCCTACACCTTATTGTCTACAAATTGGCCAATAACTTAGGTACAGTGCTTTATAAAAGCTGACAGCCTTTTTTATGTTGAGTTAAATTGTAAGCTTACCTTTTCCCGTACATGGGCAGATTGATTGTTAAAAATTAACCCTTTAAACTGGAATAGGACTGTCATGTAAATTGTGAGTATTTCCTTTAGTTAATAATCTTTTAGTTGAATCTTTTAAAATCATCAGAAATTATGACTGTTATTAGTTTTTAAACAAGTTATTTGTTTATAAATAACTCCTGTACTTCTTTGCAATTGCTCGACTTCGAGCAACATGTACACTAGTAGTTATTTATTTCATAAAATTACGAACGTAAAATAAATACCCTTGCCACATATTTGTGGTATAATGAAAAACTGGGGTAAAATATGTTTCATACTTGACAAATTAAATAATGAAGTTTGTTAATTGTGTGTCTTTATAATTTCACCAATAGGTAATAATTTAAACAGTTAAACCATCAACAGGTGTTAATTTCGAAATGAAAACGGCGAAGAGTGTATTTCAGCTTGATACGACGCCAGAAGCATTCTACAAAGCAATTATTGTTTTCAACGCCAGGTGAGTTTTACATCAGGTCGTCAATCAGCAAATGTCACCTTTGTATCCGCCTTGCCTGCTCTAGAGAACAAAGAGTTATCACGTAACAAATCTCTAAGTGTTGAGAGTAAATGGTAAAGTGAACAGCTTTCCATAAAGTACAACAATCATTAGCATATAGTAGTTTACGCAACGATTGCGTAAAGACTATTAACGCGAGTTGCGTACACTACTTTACCTACGACCGTTTTTTAATTACTATCAATCTGGATTTAATTACCAACAATCACTACTGATAACTTTTTAGAGAGGTTATGTTTTCGTGTATTGTCATTGCCACTGAAAGTGATGCAACGACTTATTGTATAATCAGCTGATTTCATGTAATTACGTGTTTGTAAAACTTCGTTAAATAATAAGTTACCTTTTTCAGGGAATAGGTTCTGCTAGCAGCATTCTTACCATAAATACTGTATCAGGTACAATTAGGTAAATATTGCATTACATTTTTTTTACAACTGAATGATTATAGTGAAAGAGTTAATTCACAGTTATATCTCAGCATAGAATATTATAGAATATTATAAGCAGTTTGTGCTCTCATTTCTATCTCGTCAACTTCACTTTCACTAACTGAC